CGGGGTCAGTATCAGGGCCGCTAATTTCCTCCGGCATGCCTATGGCAACAGAGGGGCAAACTGAGGGGGGGCGAGAACTGTCCTTAAGGGCTGTCTCCCCCATTTGTATTACGTCTTTGATATCTGGGTCCTGAGAATGGGTTTCTAAAATGTCATTAATTAAATTCCAGTAGGAAAAGGTAGGCACGGGGACCTTGCTAGGGCCAAAGGTACGATAGTAATCATTGAGACAGTCACCAACCCGTTTCCAGCATTTATGATCAATGGTGCCCTCTTGAGGGAACCAGGGACATACATCAGTCAAGAAATTGAAAAAACTGCGTAGATCTTTCTTTTTAGCCTTAATTCTGCGCATCTTGAGGGAATCCTTAAGTCCCCTATGGAAGAGCTCGTGAGAGCTCAATTCCTGTCCCATGATAATCACCTACTCACCGTTCCGATGTCCGCTGGGGCGGCTAGTCCAGCGACGATCAAGATCGAGTCTTATCCCGCAGGTTGATCACCCACGGGCTCGAAGCGAGCTCAGGAGCTCAGGGTGTGCCCGGCCGGGGCGTCATCCGAGTAGGTGCCAGCAGCGCTGTTCTGTGCCTCGAGCCCCACGTCGGGCGCCAGGTGTCCCGACCAGCGGGACAAGTAAAACGTGGGCACGAGGAGGACTACCTGCTGCTGGTGAAAAGAGAGAGAGAGACCAAGAGAGAGAAAGAGACAGGAGACACGCAGAATGGAGGCAAGACAGTGTTCTGATCAAGCCTCCAAATTTTATTGTTAGGCGATTGCTTATATACATAGCAAGGAGGGGCGGGCTGAAATAGGGCGTGTGGCGGCTTATGATAGGAGGAAGAGTAGTGGGTGGTATGAGGAGAGGAGGTGGGAGGGGTGTTGTGGTTTGGCGCGCGCGGGCTTTTCGGAGGACAAAGAAGAAGGCTTATATAAGATGATTGCTATTTTTAAAATGGCTCCCAACAATATACTATAATATACATATTTCAGGAGACTGAAATATTCTAGTCTAGTTCACATGATGAAAGAAATTTTGAAGTAGTTCTAAGTTGTATAAAAGAGGTAATAAGTCAAGTGTGACAGAATATGGCAAGAAAAGAAATAAAACATGCACAATTTCTGTATCTTGTTCTTAAAGGAAATACAACATGCTGTGGACTGAAGGGTGCCACCCCCAACATTCATATGTAGAAATCTTAACCCATATGATATTTGGAGATGGTGCCTCTGGGCAGTAATTAGATCTATGTGAAGTCATGAGACTGGAACTCTCATGGGTTAGTGCCCTCATAAGAAGCACCAGAGCTTATTTTTGCTCTCTCTGCCATGCTGTAGACACAGGAAGATGGCAGTCTGACAACCAGGAAGAGAGCCTTCACCAGGCTGAAACCCTGATCTCTGACTTCCAGCCTCCAGGACTGTGATAAAATATATTTATGTTGCTTACAGCACCCACTGTATGGCATTTTACTCTGGCAGCCCAAACTGACTGATATAAAGAAAATGCACAATGATACATTGAGAGAAGAAACATGAAGATTTATCAGAGTCAGGGATATTTATGAAATATTTTATTTGAGAAAAGCTAAGAATTTCAAAAATTCTATATTATGTAAAGAACAAATCAAAAGATATGTTTTTCTGGAAAAGACGTACAAAAAGATTTTCTCTTATAGAGCAATAAGAACCCTCCGTCAAAATACAGTAATAACATATCTTCCATATTTAATTCTCAAATAAATTACTCTAAAAATATGTACATTGTGCTAAATAAACATATTTTATCAATTTTGCAAATAATTTTCCATTTTGGCCTCTAAAATCAAATTTAAATTACATGAGACCATACTGATAAAAATACATACAAATATTAATAGTTTTGTCAGTAAACTTATCCATGGGAAATACAACTATTTCTTTTTCATAGATAAGTTTATTTGCTTTTTAAGAATATGATCAATGATTTTGTAAAAGAATATACTTGTACTCATCTAGTATGGTTACTTTACCCTCCATGATTTTTTTTTCCAAACTGAGAATACAAATCATTTTAAAGGACTCAGACAGAGAGAGGTTGCACTACATGGTCAAACAAGTACTACAAGGTTGAATGTAAATGCTATAAATAAGAAATGGAGGCTTTGATGGAGTTTACTAGCTTCAAATTGGAGATGGGATTAAGATGGCTGGTGAGAAGTAGCTAGAGTATGTTCCTTTCATGGAGTAAAGCAAAATAGAGAAAGCTCTTCAGCACTCAGAGAGGAATGGGACCAGCAGCATGCCTCACATATCACCAAAGAAGCAATAGTATCCCAGAGTGTAAAGAAGAGAAAAATTGGTCTAGATTAGAACTAGCCAGATGCGCCTTGATCATGGTACAAGCCACAAGTGGCCTCCAGATGCAGCAGGAGAGGTGGGTGGATAGAATTTAGGAGTTCTGTGCTCCTGCCATGGACTTGGAAGACCCCCCTGAACCTCATGAGATGCCAGTTCCTCACAGGAAACTGCCTTCCCCACAGCTGTCTCTGTTGAAACTGATGTGGAATGGTACAGGAAGAAAGCCCTGAAAGAAGAATCCAGCTGCTGGATTTCATGGGAATTCAACCCTTTCTGCAGGCTACTTTCTAGTCAGTCTGAGAGGGAACAGGTTCAAGGGCAAGTTCTGCTGTTGAAGAATATTTCTTGCTTGGGAACACCTGAGGCAGGCTGAACTTTGACATTCTAAACCCAGACTACCTGCAGCTAAGATGAGGGAGCTGGATGGGACTTGCTGCCATAGCACCATTTAATTCTCAGTATGGGATTATGTAAACTGTCCAACCTAAGAATCAAAAGTGCTCCTGAGGAAGAAGCAAAAACAGCAGGTTTGGAAAACCTATTTGAGAGGCTTATTAAGGAAAACTTCCCAGGCCTTGCCAGATATTTAAACTTTCAGATACAAGAAACTCAAAGAACCCCCTGAAGATTTATTGCAAAAAGGCCATCCCTAAGTCATATAATCATCAAATTATGCAATGTTAATGTGAAGGAAATAATTTTAAAAGCAGTGAGACAAAAGCATCAAATAACTTACAGAGATAAACCTATCAGACTAACAACAGCCTTCTCAGCAAAAACACTGCAAGTCAGAAGGGACTGGGGCCCGTACTTCAATCTTCTCAAACAGAATAGCAGTCAGCCAAGAATTTGTATCCTGCAAGTTTCATAAATAAAGGAGAAATTAAGTCTTTCTCAGACAAGCAAACACTGAGGGGATTTTTCACCACTAGACTGGCTCTACAAGAAATACTCAAAGGAGTTCTAAATATTAAAACAAAAGCTTAAAATACACTAGTAAAAAAACATTGGGAGTTATAAAGCTCACAGGGATTATAGAATACCAATACAACAAATAGAGAGAAAAAAAGAAAAGCAAATTAATCAACCAGGTAACAATCAACATGATGAATGTAATAGTACCTTACATATCATTATTAACCCTGAATGTAAATGGTTTCAGTGCCTCACTTGAAAGATATAGACTGGCCGGGTTCAGTGGCTCAGCCTGTAATCCCAGCACTTTGGGAGGCTGAGACAAGTGGATTGCCTGAGCCCATGGGTTAAAGACCAGCCCAGGCAACTTGGTAATACCTCGTCTCTACAGTAAATAAATTTTAAAAATTAGCCAGGCATGGTAGTGCACACCTGTGGTTCCAGCCACTTGGAAGGCTGAGGTGGAAAGACGGCTGGAGCCCAGCAGGTCGATGCTGGGATTGCTGTGAGTGTGCCACTGCACTCCAGCCTGGGTGATAGAGTGAGACTCTAACTGAAAAAAAAAAAAAGGATATAGACTGGCAGAATTGATAAGAAAAACACAATCCAAATATCTGCTGACTTCAAGCGACCCACAGAGATGCCTATGGACTCAAAGAGGTGGGAAAAAATATTCCATGCAAATAGAGACCAAAAATTAGCCAAGAGTATCAGATAAAACAGATTTTAAATTAACAACGGTAAAAAAAGATGGTTATTATATAATTATAAAGGAATCAATCTAACAAGAAGATGTAATAATTTTAAATATATGTGTACCTAACACAAGAGCTCTCAGCTTTATGAAACAAATTCTACTAAATCTAAGAAAAGAGATAGCAATGCAATAATAGTGGGAGACTCCAACATTAGACAGCATTAGACAGATCATCAAGGAAGAAAGTTAAAAAGAGACATTAAAGTTAAACCAGACCCTAGAGTAAATGGAATTAACAGACATCTATAGAACATTCCACCCCCAAACTACAGAATATACATTTTTCTCATTAGCACATGAACCATTCTCCAAGATATATCATATAAGTCAAATCAAATCTCAATAAATTCACAAAAATCAAAATCAAATCAAGCAACTTCCCTGGCAACAGGGGAATAAAACTAGAAGTTAATGTCAAGAAAAATGTGCAAAATCAAACAAAAGCATGGAAGTTAAATAATCTGATCCTGGATAATCCTTGGGTTAGCAATGGAATCAAGATGGAAATTTTAAAAATCACTGAAATGAATGACAACAACAAAACAAGTTATCAAAACCTCTGAGATATAGGCAAATCTATGCTTAGAGGAAAATTTATGGCATTTAAGTCCTAAATTAGCAAGACTGAAAGATCACATATTGATAGCCTAATGTTATGCTTCAAGAAACTAGAAAAACCTGAACAAACCAAACCCAAAGCCAGGAGAAGAAAATAAATAATGAAAATATGAACAGAATTAAATGAAATTGAAAACAAAAAAATAATAGATCAATAAAGCAAAAAGGTGGTTCTTTGAAAAATAAACAAAATTGACAGACTAGTCACCAGATTAATTAGAAATGAAGAAAGAAAATTGAATTAAACCCAATCAGAAATGAAAATGAAGACATTACCATTGATAGAAAGAAATACAAAGGTTCATCCAAGATTATTATTAACATCTCTATGCAAACAAACTAGACAATCTAGAGAAAATGGATAAGTTCTTGAAAACATACAACTTACCAACCTTGAATCAGGAAGAAATAGAAACACTGATCGATAATGTGTATTGAGATTGAAAGAATAATTAAAAGTCTCACAACAACAACAAAAAGTCTAGGACTTGACAGACTGACATTTGTCTCCTACCAGACTTTCAAAGGAGGACGGTTACCAATTTTAGTGAAGTTACTCCATAAGACAGAAGTGGTGTAAATTCTCTGTAACTCATTCTACAAAGTCAGCATCACCCTTATACCAAAAAAAGAAAAAGAAAAAAAAAAAAAGAGAAGAAAAAAAGAAATGACACACACACAAAAGAAAGCTACAGATCAATACCCCTGATGAACATAGACACAAAAATCCTTCAACAAAATATTAACAAACTGAGTTCAACAATATATATTTTTTTAAATCCACCATGATCCAGTTTCATTCCCAAGGATGCAAGGATGGATCAGCATACAGAAGTCAATATATGTGATAAACCACATAAACAGAATTAAAAATAAAAATCATCTGATACTTTCAATAGATGCAGAAAAAGCATTTGATAAAATACAGTGTCTTCATGATAAACAAAAACCCTCAGCAAAATAAAAGGAACATTCCTTAAAATAATAAAAGCCATCTATGACAAAC